CTTTGTAAAAACTTCAATTAAATTTCAATAAAGTTAAAGGCATGGCCTCACTATTAATATTTAAAAAAAAAAAAAAACAGTATAAAGCATCCAATTTGGTAAAACTTTTAAAAACAAGTTAAAATAAAAATCTTTCTTTCAAATTTATTGTTTTTTATTTAAGTAACAAATTTGAAAGAAAGATTTTCAAAATTTTTGATTTAAAAATATAGTTACAATTTAAAATTTAAAATTTTTAAAAATTTAATGCATATATATAATTTTAAAAAATTTGATTGGTTAATATTTTTTTTTATTATTTTTATCATAAAATTTTTTTTAAAATTTGGCGCATTTGGATTCTTATGCTGTCCCGCACTGTAGTAAATAATTGAAACATGCATTACATTTAATTGGCTAGTCGATTATCATGCGCTGTGTGGCTGATGACCCGCGCCACAAATCTAGCACACATGCCCCTATATAAGCGAAAATCGACCTCCGACCTAAAATTTCTGGTCCGGAACCAATAAAATCTCCGGATATTGTGTAACAAAAACAAACCGCGCAACAGCAAAAAAAAGTGAAAAATCCAAAATAGAGCCAAATTTTACTATGCTAACTAACTTCCGACTTCTAATTAAAAATGTTCAACATTAAAATTTACATATGTCACTTACTTTCTTATATCAGATTTGTGTATTTGGATCGGAAGGGTCCGATTTTCGCTTGACATAAGAGTACCCTAATTTCGCGAGGTGCGATATAACGAACGAAGCTTGGAATCGGATGATGCTGAGAATTTGGGGTCTCAATTTAAAAATATAAACCCTACTAAAATCCACATATACTCTTATTATAAACTCTAACCCTAAATTCTAACCTAACTTTAAAAAAAAATTTTTTAATTTTATTTTAAATAATTCAAGCTTCATCCCCGACATTTATTATAGTTATGAATTAAGTGTTAGTATTAGTTATAAAATTAATATTTGTATTCAAAATTTATATTATATAATATGAATTAAATTATTAAATTATTTATTTTAATTATATATAATTAAATTTATAACTATTGTACATGTTTGTTTATTTTAAATATTACCGTATATTGTATTACATAGATATTTATTTTGTTATAAAGCAGTAAAGTTTAATAAATTTAACTAAAATCGAAGTTTATAAAATAGCAGATTAATAATTCAATTGATTTAAAATTCCGCTGCAAGATAGCGGGTTCAGACCTAGTTTACATGATTATTTGAGGTTCAGTTACGTTTGAAGTGATGCATTTGTGAGGTAGAATACGACCTCCATTTACGTAAATTTCGTCATTGATGGATACGTCATCACCAAGTACAGAAACACCCTCGAGACGAGCCTAAATGAAAATACGCAATAGTGAATAAGAGTATACATAAAAAAAATATTGTCAAATTGAAAATTCCTGAAATTTACCCATCGTCCAATGTTAGAATGCCATCCAATAATGCTATTCATAACCCAAGCATAGTCTCTGATTCTACTTCCTTCCAATACAACGCATCTTTGCAATCGAACACCGTCACCAATAATAACGTTTGGGCCAATCGTGACGTTTGGACCGATCCTACAACCTTTACCAATCTTTGCAGTCGGATCGACAAGAACATTACCTCCGTGAACATAATCGCAATCAGTGTTCGCAAGGAGGTGAGGCTGTTTTTTGGCTAAATTGGCGAGGTATAGACAAGTGCCTGTCAAAAAATCTTTAGGCTGTCCAACATCCATCCAAAAACCTTCTAGATCAAATGAATGTAGTTGAGAATCGGCTGCCACATGAGGAAATACTTCTTTTTCAATAGAGGTAGGTTTTAGCTATTATGTTTGATTACAAAGAAAAATTTAAACAATGATAATAATAATAATAATAAACACTGCAAAAAAGATAAGCACAGAATTATAAGTAAAAACTTGATAATAAGACAACTAACCTCAATTCTGTCTAAAATAGAAGGATTCAATATATATATGCCAGCATTAATTTTGTTGCTGACAAATTCTACAGGCTTCTCTACAAAACGTTGGACACGAGATGAGCCAGGATGATTTACAATCACACCGTACTTTGAAGGTTCTTCAACTTTGGTAACCTAGAGGCATATGTTTTTATAATGACCACTTAATATTATTCTATTCGTATGAGGTGAAACGCCGAGAAATAAATTTATTGCATACGTACTACAATAGTGCCCTCATCTCCATGTGCTGCATGAAAATCTCTCAGCTGTTCAAATGGATATTCACAAATGATGTCACTGTTTAATACAAAAAATGGTGTATTATCCTTAGAGAGAACGTCACGAGCCAACGCAAGGGGACCGGCTAAATATATAGAAATATTAATACTACTTTTAAGTTGGTTATAAAAACAAACACATTCAAGCCGATCATTCAAGATGATACCAACCGGTCCCTAAGGGTTCGGTTTCAACAGAAAAGGTGATTGTAATGTTGAACTTTTCTTCATATTTTTGAAGAAGAGTTACCATGATTTCGGGGCGATAATTTACTGCCAACACGATGTCTTTTACTCCTGCCTTTAAGAATATGAATTAATTGAAGAACTTTGTAATATGACCAATTGTGTTGATCCCAGTTTAAACAATAAGACCTACTTTTACAAGACCTTCTATTTGATGTAATATCATAGGTTTATTGCAAAACTCCACCAAAGGTTTGGGAAGAGTAAGCGTCAGGGGACGAAGCCTGGTACCAAAACCTGAAATATTATCAAAAATTAATTAAAGTTTTATCGTCAACATTTTCAAAAATAGAAACAAATTAATTTGACTATTTAAATACCGCCAACAAGGATGAGAGCTTTCATGATTAAACTTTTTCTTGAGAATTCAGAAAGTGCTAATTTGTAAATCGAATTTATATATAATCGTGATAAAGTTTTGTGGTGTGACAAATTACCAATTCCGTCCGTGTTAAATTTTGCATACATGTCGTGCATTAAAAAAATTTGCTTTGTACATTT